GGGTTAAAGTTTCCCAACAAAATTCTCAGAAAATGAGCAGGTAAAGTAAACAGGTATTTTGTTAGGATGGAAAATTTTTCTTTGGTGCAACTTTCCTGGCCTGTTTTTTTAACCCGTGCAACCTTCCATTTTCTTAACTCTTCTTCCTATTAAGCTCTCATAATCTTTCTGATTCCTTCAAGAAAATATATTAGGATGGTCCCTTTGGAGTCCCCCCACAATCTTTAAGGTGACATCTCTGTATTGAATTGAACAGGCCCAGAAGTTCCCCTTGAAAGTCACTGTTTTGACTGATTTTTATTTGATATTTTTGAAGGCACCGTAAATAGACTACGACAAGTGTATTAGTGAAAGAGAGTGCTGGTCTGGCGCTGTGGGCGAATGTGTCGGACTGCAAAGTCGCTTTGAAGCACAAGCTGCAAAGTTGGTTTGAACCAAAGTTGGTTCAAGCTCACCAGCTGCTCCTTGGTAACCCTATACAGGGTCGCTATGGGTTGGAATCGACTCAACAGCACTTAATAACTTTACAGTAACAACATTATTGAGAGAAGTTGTATGCAGGTATCCACTGATCTCAGAGCTACATTGAAACATGTTTTGTTTGCAATAAACTCATCCATGCATGTATGATCTGGAACCCTAGTAGCAAGAATTTTTTACTTCCTCCCATGGGAATGTATGTGTGTATATGTGTGTGTACACACATTAAAAACAACAACAACAACAACTTACGATGTTTATTTTCTTTCTCCCTAGTAAAACATGTATTTTGTCTGTTTTATCACTGTCCTCTCTCCAGCATCCAGAACACTATCTGACTCAACAGACACTTGTTGAATGGATCAGTCAATCTCAGTTGGAAATGACCCCTCTGTTGGTCTTGTCCTAGGACTACTTTGTCTGGTTTGAGACATCTGATTTTCATTTACTCATTCTCCACTTATCCTGCAAAGTCCAAATTCTGGTTTTAATCTTTCCTTTAAGAATTCTTTCTGTATCGCTTGACCCAAACAGAAATAATTCATTGAATGTTCCCTCCAATTCATTCCCAAACTACATTGTTCATACTTTGGCATAGTATGTGTCACATCAAAGTTCATCATGCTTGAAGATGAGGTCCTTGAGAACAAGGCTTATGACATATTTATCTCTACACTCCCAGAAATTGCCACAGTGCCTACAATATAAAGGCTCTCAGAAACTATTTGTCAAATAAGTGAATGACTGGATGTGAGAATGCAGGTAAATAAATCTAACTGAACAGTTTTGTTTGTTTGTTAAAATGTAATGAAAAATGTTTTTCACAAATGGATACAGTCTTCAAGTTTGAGGCATTAGAAAAAACACACCAAAAGGAGAAGATTGGCATGCAGAGAAATTCTGAACATGAAATCAAATGGCATCTTGACCTGGAAAAGAACAAAGCACTAATCAGATGTCAACAAGTTGTCCTTGAGTACATTTTGTGAAGTAAACATCGATGACTGCATTCTAGGACTCAGAGGAGGTTTGCCAGAGCTGCCATATTCAGAGGAGTACCTCCAGGGTATTCTTCCATGGTGTCTCCAAATTAGAGTCCTGATGTTCCCACTGACCCTGTGCCCAGGTGAACACAGAGGAGAGAAGCAGCAGGCTGTGCACCTATCTCCTAATGCTTATGTTGTGTTTGGTTTCAGATGCTCAGCCCCTGGTATGATGAATTCCTGGAAGAAGAGGACTACTGGTTTCTAATTTTCACAGTAGGAGAAATTTTGGATTGGGAAGGAAAGAAAGAGTAACTACTCTGTTAGAAGTCCCATTTGGTAACATAAATATTGGACATTTTGCTTTGTCCTACAGTCCATTGAAAGGAGCTCTGGTAGCATAGTGGTTATGAATCGGGCTGTGAACCTTAAGGTCAGCAGTTTGAAACT